GATTCACGTCGCGGCGTCGGAGTTAAAATTGATTGTCAATGCTGAGTAGGCACTTATTCTTCGTGCATCGAGGCGTCCGCGGAAAAGGGACAGCCAGATGGCAGGGCTCGGAGTATGCATCCAGTCAGGGGAGGGTAGCACTCATAGGTCCGAACGAAAGGTCCGCTCTCGCAACAGCTATCTATCGCATGATCCGCTAATAACAGACAGTCACACATCGAGAAGAAGGAAGGAGGAAAGAGAGGATAAGGTGGTGAGAAATGGGTAGCGGGTGACCAGGCTGTGGAGCCGAGGAGCGCGCCGAGCTCTTTGCCCAACGGGAACGGCACCTTCCGCGCCGCACACACGGGGAAGGGGGGGGGGGCGTTGTGAAATGCCTAACAAGTACTTAGGGTACCAATGATAAGCGAGCAGGGTGATTTTAGATGGCTGGCTCCCGAAGATGCATGTTCCGGTGATGATCGATCCGCACTAAGCATCCCGAGGCAATGGGTATGCGTGTGTGTGCATAGCATACCTACCAAGTAGTATGGAGGGCCGACGGCAAGGCTCCACGTGGGATGTCTTGATAGCGATACGCCTAGACATAGCCTATCCTGCCAGCTCTGCCATAGTTGGGATGATGACCGATCTCTCACTTTTGACAATAAGAAGGAGGTGGCTGTTTGATGTGCCACGGGGCTTGGAGAGGGGCGAATGGAGATGGGATCAGAAGGAACGTTTGCAGGAAATTTCAGTTAATTCGAGCAGGCTCGAGCTCGCCCTGGTGGTCGATTTTAGGGACGAACTGGCTTTGGGGGAGGTGAGTCGCCCAGTAGGATGGTAGTTTAGTTGATTGATTGCTTGATTGATTGATGGAACCGATACCAAGGAGAAGGATTGCTTATGCGAGTAGTCAAAGATAGGTAGGTGGGTTTGGGGGTTAGTGATTAGGCGGGCGGCAAAGTTGGGCGGTAGGTGTAGGGAAGGCCAGGGTGGCAAAATAAGGGGGGGGAGGCGGAGGCCTCTACGTACCTCAGTGATTAGCCATGTCGCAGGCAGCTGGTAGCACTGTCACTAGGCGTGCTAGGGAAGGTACTCTCTCCTTGGTCCAAGGCTGTGACTTGGTTAACCACGCCGGGCCAGTCGCTGGCAACGAACTGGTCACGTTCCCCCACGAATCTCCCTCGGAGTTGGACTGTATCACGACTGGGATAAAAATATGTGACCATGGCATCCGTAACGGCCCAAAAGATCGGATACAAAACTTACAGAATTCAGGTTCTGATACTCTCTCTTACCATACAGAAGGTATCGACCCGAAAGAAGAATAACAAAGTTCACTGCATGAAAGAGATGATCCAGAGGGTGCGAGGGTGGTAGCGAGAGACAAGTGAAGAGAGTGAGTACTAGGTGCGAGGTTTGCCGCACCATCGTCGCTTTGTAGGCGGTGATGTCACCCCTCCTATTTCGAGTTTTCACTTCGACTTCACTTCCACCTCACTTCTACTCACTTCTGCCGCAGTGTGGTCGTATATGAGAGTCATGTTATGACTGAATGAAAGTGAGTGAGTAACTGAGTGAGTCGACTCTTCTCTGCCACACCCTCACCGAATGACTCAATCTTCGTCGAAAGGTAAAGAAGTGCAAGGTTGTGAGTTTGCCTCTCTGCATCACTTGATCACTTGCCCTTCTTTTTCCTCCTGCTCCTCCTTCGCTTCTCTTTTCCCTTCATCTCCTCGCGATCTACATCTAGATTTGTCCCGTCCCCATCCCCCAGCAGCCATCACCCATCACCCTTGATCAGATTCGGAAGCTTATCATCCGCCTTTTTTCTCTCCTTCCCTCATTCCCAATAACCGAAGCAGCACTTGGTCGGCCGACCGCCCCCGCCAGCACTCCCAGCGGTTCCATCACCTGGCCGAGAAACGTGAATTCAAGGAACCTTTGTTGATTGAGTGAGTAGCACTTGTCTGCCAGCTCATCAATCAGCATGTCACTTGACAACGCCAGCCTCAGTAAGCCTGCAGCTCCTTTGTTGCCTCGTCCAGCTTCGCCTTGCCTTGCTATGCGGGCCAAAACCCTTTGCCACCATCCGAGGCCGCCCCCAACCCTTTCTAAACACCTCCGGGCGCCTCCACGTCGAATCCCTTTGTAGCTTGGGGTGATTGGGGGAAGGGGGCCCGGTGGTTCAGCCGATGAAACACTCCCCATCGGTCATCTGACTGCTGAGTTGTTCCCAGCTGCTGATCGCTTATTGCGCATTGCGCCCAACATCCAGGCACCAGCCGTGTCAGCACCCAAATTGAGCATCAACCACCCCCTCAGAACCCAACGCCAGTCACGTCGACACCGGCTCAATCACAGCCGAGGGTATGTCGCTTTTTCAATACAAGCAAAGGTAATCACTCTTCTGTCTTTTACTCTGCAATTTTTCCATTGGCCCAGCTGGTGTAATAAATTCCTCCAATAGCCTAAATTCAAACATGCACAGCATGCTGTGTGATGCCTGGCTTAGCAGCTGTGCAGATCACTGGCCATTTCGTACCCTCAACATGGATTCGGCCATCAACGAAATGACTTCACGTGATAACCCAGCTAATCATCCTCCCAGGTTGTCGAGCTGGTTCGCAATGCCCGTTCAGACATCTTCAGCCCAAAGACAGAGTCACAAACCCTAGGCCAAAACCAGACCCTCAACAGGCCGAAGGTGCCCGAGGCCCCTCGGTCGTGCAAGAACGCCTGGCTCTGTCTCACCAAACCAGGGCGTTGGTCTCTGGCTCGTCTCCAACTCAGAGGCCCCTATCCCAACTCCAGCAGAGCAATCCGCGTGAGTTCCAGCTGGGTCAAGTGATTAGGAGGTTTTCTCCCATTCGGAGAGACACGCCTGGTGACACTACCTTGTCCTTCGCCCTGGTCCCATCGGATCCAGACTTTCCATTCGAGCTTGAAGGTGGTCTTCATTGCATCCTGACCGTCCCTGCACCGTATCCTCAGAATGGCAGACCGACCATTAGAGTCACAAATGCCGAAATGGCCCGGGGTTTCCAGATCAACGTGGAAAAGGGGTTTGACAGCCTTGTCCAATACTCACCGAACAAGACGCTGTTGGCGCTCTTGAACGAACTGGACAAGCACCTTGAGAATTTCTTGACATCCGAAAAGGCTCAGACCATCAAGATCATTGCAAATGCCGACAAGAACTCCAGAACCCCTGAGCCTGTGCCACAAGTAGCCCGCCTGCCCTCCCCGCCCCCCATATCCGTGGCGCCGCGTCCACCACTTTGGACCACCGTAGACAGGTCCAGCGCCTTAGAGAAGAGGGAAGCTGATGTCCGTCAACTCGAAGCTCGCATGGGACGAATTCCGCATTACTCTAAAAGCCCTGATGGAACGACTTTCAACATTCCAATACAAGTGGCCAAATCGGACCGCCTCCCTCTTCACCTACAACCGCTCAGGGAAGTCACGCTGATTGTCCCGCGCCTTTATAACCTGGAGCCTTGCACGGTGCTACTGAAAGGCGTCAGTGGGTCAGAAGCTGAGAATGTTCAATTGGCTTTTGAAAGACATGTCCGAAAACACCTGGACATGACCCTCATGGCTCATATCAACTACTTGACCCAGAATATTCATTCAATGGCTTCGGAGATGGTACAGACCACAGCTCGGACGACACCAGCAGATACCCCAGGTCCACAGCAGCCTCGGGTCGAAGAAACACAGCAGGGGGTGTTGACAGAGGAGGGTGTAGAAGAACCCAGAGGGTTGATCTCGGACGAAGGCCGACCACATGTGAAAATCATCCCTCGACCTCCTGAATGGGACCGACAGGGTTCTGGGGACGATTCTGAATCGTCTTACGACTCTGGCGAATTCTCCAGCTCTGAAGATGAGGAACAAGCTGACGACGAGGAAGAGGCTGACCCAGGCGGAGCGGCTCTTCCAGTCTCATCAACTGCGACCGAAAAGGGAATCCATATTTCGTTCCCCAATCTGGAGCTCCATAACATCGAGCTTCTGACCTTGGCGTCCCTATCCCTGTCCGTCAAGTGCCTGCGCTGCAAGTGTCATCTCGACATCTTCAACATTAAGCCCGGCGGTGACGCAACTAGCTCTTCAGCGTCTAGTGTGCGAACTGATTCCTGCCCCAAATGCACCACACCATTCACAGTCTCTTATACATCCAATGCCTTGCATGCCAACACCGTCCGGGCGGGCACGATTGATGTCACAGGCTGCACGATCACCGACCTCCTCCCGTCGGTCTTCCAACCCACCTGTGCATCTTGCTCCACAACCTTCCCGGTCCCCCCGGGCATGGTCTCCGTACGGGGCGACACACCGATCCAGGTGTGTCGGTCGTGCCACGCCAAAATGACATTCACGATACACGAGGTCAAGTTCCTCCGCGTGTACCACACCTCCTCAGACACCCTCCCGCTACGGCGGCCGAAGAAGGAAAACCTAGGCATCTCTGCGGGCACGCCCCTGCCGGACAACGGCACCTGTGCGCACTACCGACACAGCTACCGCTGGTTCCGCTTCAGCTGCTGCCACCGCGTGTACCCGTGCGACCGGTGCCACGACGCCGCCGAAGCCCACGTCAACGAGCACGCCGACCGCATGGTCTGCGGGTGGTGCTCGCGCGAGCAGAGGTTCCGGAGCGAAGACTGCGGTGTCTGCGGGCGGAGTGTGATCAGACGGCGCAAGGCGGCTGGCGGGTTCTGGGAAGGCGGCAAGGGCACGCGCGACAAAGGTCTGATGAGTCGCAAGGAAAAGAGGAAGTATAAACGTCCTCGGGGGAGCGCAGTGGGTTCCGCCGCGGCCGCGACGAAAAAGGATGCTGCAAAGTAGTCTATTTTGGACTCGCACGAAGGTCCATATTATATACATGGCGTTTGACGTGGACAGTCAGCCTTGTGTGAAACCCCCAATAGCCCTGAAAACATTACACCTACTATTACACACCTCCCCGTCTACCTACCTACCTATCTCACCACTCTCATTGCAGCGTGTATCTATAGTGTACATATCAAAGACACGAGGTGCATAGACCTAACAACTCCTGGCTCCTTCTCCTCCTCGGTCTCCTGCGCCTGCTCCTGCTGCTGGTGCAGACACACGTTCGAATCCCTCACCTCTTCCATGACACTCCGGACCTTCGTCCACACGTGGTATGCGCCCTCGTCGCGAGCACCAGCGAGCCAGAGGAAGCTGCACACGAGGGCTCGCAGGTGGACAAAGTCTACCACCTCCAATGTCGCAGAGCATGTTGCCACGAGATGGATGAAGAAGGCTTCGTCGTCGTCGCAGTTCTTGGAAGCGAGAGCGCCGAGGACCGCAATCCACAAGAGGAACGCCTCCCCGCGACCCGCCAGCATGGGTCCATTGCACGTCGCCATCGAAGGAGGACACGGGCGGTCCTCAACCTCGTTTCTCAACTGCTTAGCTAGAACGCGCAAGGGTCTTGGCCTGGCGACAGGGTAAATGACGCCGTAGCTGAAAATCATAGCAGCGAGACGGCAGAGTTCTTCCTCTCGATTCTCGTACCGGGGTAATCGGAGCAGGCGGTACTGGACGAGATTGCGATAGACGTTCGTTTCCCAGGCCACCCCCGGACGAGGACACCAGGTCGTTGGCAGCAGCATCACCGTCACCGCCACCGCCACCGCCGCCCTCAGACGCACCACCCGATTCTGCCGCGATCCTCTCTAGCTCTCGGCAGTACATTCTCATGTCGAGGAGCAGGTCCTTGAAATCAACGTCGTGGATGGTGGGAAATGCCTCGTCAAGTCTCTCGCGGGGCGGTCGGATCATCTTGACATGGTTCTCGAGCACGTGCTGGTAGAGGTGGCAGAGGGTAAAATTGGGGCGACACAGCGATAAGCTTGCCTGTAGGATGTCTGTGGACTGGATCTGTTCCGCAACACCAGGCGTCGAGATGTTGTAGACCACCTCGCGCAGCCACAAGGCACTGGACCGCGAGCACGTGAGACAGGGTCCAGCGAAAGTGGGAGAAATACTGGATCCAACCGAGTGATCGCAGCGGAGGATCGAAGCCTCCAAAGCAGTGGTCTCCTCCACCTACCTCGTGCGCAGCGATGCGAGGGTCAGTGTCGCGTATCGTGAGGGCAAGGACTGCAAAAATCACAGAGTCCGTGACTTGGTCCTGGTCGATATGCTCGCGAATGCTCTGAACTGCCCTAGCTTGGCAGGCGAACATGACCGCGTCGTTGGCAATGGCGGTATGAGGCAGGTGCATCGACATGGCCAATGCGGCGGTCCAGACAAATGAGTTGAGCAACAGATGATCGACCATGCTCAGGTGAAAGAAGGCTGAGGTTAAGGACTCGTTGGTCTTGAGGCTGTAATGCTTGAACGAGGGCCAGAGGATCGTGCGGGCGTAATGGTGGTCTCTCCGTATCCCATGGTTCGCAAGTAGCACCGCACATCCCTGTACTGGGGAGGTGATTTGCTGAAGCTCTGTCTGAGAGCGCAGGGTAACCTGGCCAAATGTGTTATTGGGAAGCAGAGCATCTCCTCCAGACGCCGTTTGCTTGACGTTGCCTTTTTGATCCGCTGTAGGTACCACTTTCCGAGGCGCAAGCGAGACTGGCTTTTGTAGCCTGCAGGCAGCTGATGCCCTTTTGGCCTGTCGTTCTGCTGCTCTCCTGCGGCCTAGAAAGGCGACATTGAGTCAGGAGGCAGCATCGTCAGGGAAAGATTCACATAACCGTACGATATGAACGCTGGTTCAAACGATTCTGGATCCTTCTCCTGGCTCTCGCGTCAGACAAACCGGCCCAGTCGTCATCTTCCCTTCTTGTTTCTGTGGGCAGCCTCCTTTCGAAGACGACCCGGGACGGTGGAGTCTCCATTTGCATCTTTTGATGTCCGTCTGTTGCCCTTGTTCGAGCTCTTGTCATTTTGCGAGGAGATTCTCGCCAGGCCCATTCCTACCTGAGACAGCACTTGAATCCGAGCCCCAAAAAGGCCGTAAATACGCAGCCCTTCCAACACGCGGACTCGGTGATTGCGGTAAGAGATGATGTTCCCGGCCACGTTATTTGCCAAGCAGACATGCCGGCAGCTTACCTGTGAAGAACCAATCAACATTGCTATTATTCACCGGCCCCATCTGCAGCCTTGCATGAGTCGGGCCTTCTGTAGTTCCTGTCGATCCATGTTGATCATACAACTGGAGTCGCCCATTGCATCAACATGCTCGATTCGCGGGCAGATGACGCAAGATAGCCTACTAATAGGTATAAGCAAGGTCGGCCTCGGGAACCTTGTTCAAGGCAGTACTCGAGACAGCACTTTTGTGAGGACGAATAGCGGATTTCGGTAAAAGAGGATCAAGTCGGCGCTCTCGACAGGTGTCTTGCGGCGGAGATTGTTAGCAGACGATAAATCATCGATGGCAAACTAGTGACAATCACGGCTTTTCATTTTTCTATCCGATCTGCCAACGGGTATCATTTTGCACACTCTTTCGAATCATGTCTTCATGCAGGCTTTTGCCGCGAACGCCCTTAAATGCTGAGGCTATGGCGCTGGAACAAGTCTAGAAGTCGTTATCGTCGCTTCCCGCTACAATCACGTTGTTGATTTTCAGGACCTTTTTGGGATATGTGAGCTAAAGGGAGAAACCGACACGACGACGAGACTTACCATTCGACACAGCTGGGTTGCAAGGAGCAACTGCGATCGCTTTCCAATTAGGGGGTCGATGACAAAATTGGCCCGCATATCTTCCAGGAGTCAGTAAAGCTCGATGCTAGCAATAAAGGAGAACATACCATTGTTTCCAGTTCCCATGCAATCGACGCCCAGCCTAGAGTTCTGTTCCTTGATCTGCCGCGACTTCACTTCGGCCAGCGTCTCAATCGGACTCAGACCAGAATTCTCTGCCAGAGCCATCGGAATCGCGTCCAAAGCGTCGGCAAACGCTCTCATAGCATACTGTTCTAAACCCGGCGATTTCGAGGCAGCATCCTCGACAGCGATAGAACAAGCAATTTCAGCAGCACCGCCACCGTAGACAACTCTGTTGTCTCTGACGAGGTTGCGAACAACGCAAAGAGCGTCATGAAGAGATCTCTTCGCCTCATCAATGATCATCTTGTTGCTGCCCCTTACGAACACCGTGACAGCTCGAGTATTGGCGCACTCTTCAATGACCAGCATCTTTTCTCGAGTGGTACCAAAAGTCATTTCTCGGACCACGCCAGCCTGACCTAGTTTCTCCCTGCTCAGGTCCTCGAATCGCGGCACGATTCGACCGTTGGTAGCAATCGCTATCAGTTCGATTTCGGGGCCGCCGACCCACCGTACCGCCGGAAGCTTGTTTTGAAGAAGTAGATGGTTTGCCTCGTCATCGAAACCCCATTGACAAATAACAAGATTTGCCCCAGTAGCTTTGATCATGTCGATCATCTCGACGAATTTGTTCTTCTCGTACTGCTGCAGCTTCCTGAATTCCTCCACCGTGGATATATCGAGCTTATGCTTGGTCTTTGGTTTGGGCGGTTCAAAGGCACATGTCAGGATGGCCAGTTTGGCGTCCCTCACTTCACTCGGCATCTGCGGATGGGAAAAGTCTTTGTCGATGATGACTCCCTTGACCAGTAAAGAGTCCTCGATTGAACCACCTGCTTTGCCGTCAACCTTTATGAGCTCGAAATCGACATCTTTTCGCTCGAGGTCGGCAACGGACATGACGGCATCGACTGCGATCTTCGCGAACTGGTCATGGGACTTGCTGACAATTTTGCTTCCGAGACTGGTTTTGGCAACCTTAATCAGATTTTCTTGCTTTTCGCGACTAAAGGCGATTTCATCACTGATTTTGTCTAGATGTGCGACAGCAATCTCGCAAGCCTGGTCGAAGCCGTCGGCAATGCGAATGGGATGGATACCTTTGTCGATGAGATCTGCGGCCTGATCGAGGAGAGCAGCAGCCAGGACAACGACACCGGTTGTACCATCACCAATCTCTTCATCTTGTGACTTTGAAAGTTCAACCATAAGCTTGGCGATAGGATGTGTTATTTCCATCTCTGACATGATTGTGCGGCCATCGTTTGATATCTGAATGTCCCCATCTGGGGATATGAGGATCTTGTCGAGACCCCGCGGGCCTAATGAGGTTCTGACAATGTTTGCGATCGTGCGGGCTGCAACGATGTGTTGCTTGACAGCCTCTATACCATGTGTTCTCTTCTTCTTTCCCTGGTCTCGGACGACAATGAAAGGTCTTCCCGTCTCGTCCTTCAGGACTTGAGCCTGAGACAGGTCCAACTGCATCGCCATGATGAGTGTGTTTCCAAGTTCAGCCGCAGTCGCTCTCCTCCTAACGTGAGTCGCAATTTCCTTTTTCCTTGATGGTGGGTGTGAATGTGGTGTGAGTTGGTGGCTGCGGATTGTGCAGAGTTTGACTGCGGAGAGAGGCGATGCAGTGAGGGACCTGCTGCTATTTACTCGTTCTCAGGTCTTTCCCATGCAGATCCTACTCAACGCAGACAATGACGACCGAATTCGTGTTCTCTGAAGTGTGATGGCTAACTGGCTGCGGAACTGGTTCGATAGTGGCACCAGGTGGTGAACTTGGTTCTCGAAATTTGGAGACATGCCTGTCCCGCTGCTCTTGCCATTGCCAAGGAGAGTCTACCTTTTTCTGGAAATATAGTCACGCTGCCCTACCAAAACCCTGTCTCGCTACCTAGCGAGCTAGCCTCGATGAAGTTTACCCGGTACAGCCTAGTTCACCCCGACCTTAGTGCAGTAGTGTCACGTTTCACCGAGTTTATTTAACTATATCTTGAACACTATTCAACCTCGAAGGATTTCAGGAAACAGTCGTGATTCGAGATTAAGTATACATCAAATAAGCGTGAGAAGGCCATGATGAGACTCAAAATAGAGTTTGTTAACAGGCACCTGGCTAAATGACATGCTCTTTAAGGACGTGTTTCCTAGTTGCCCCGAATCCAGGATGTCAAGTCAGCGCTGGACGATGCCGCCTCATGGGACTGAAATTCCATGTTGCTGACGATGAAATGGACTGGACATTTATTAGCATCTCTTTGGAAATCGTACCAATTGCTTACCAAAGTCGAAAACACAGGCGGTGCAGAACACGTGCAAGCCCAGTTCAACCACTGCTGGACCCACGGCTAGTTTCCTGATCGACACAGATATTTCCCCCTCTCCCGACCCTAGAATGTGCGGATTCATCTTCCTCTTGCACGTTCCTCCGACACTGAAGAGGTGCGAGGTTGAGAGGCTCTAATCATCAATGGAATCCTTCACCTTGACTGGTCGCAAGGGTTAGAGCATTCAGTGTTCAGTCAAGATGAGGACTCCTGCAGTTTAAGAATGAAATAGTGAAGGCTGGACTATTTATCAACAACAAATTCGTCCCAACTCATAGCTCTTCGACTCTGGACGTCCACCATCCGTACTCGGGCGAAGTTCAGTACAGGCCCAATACAGTTCTATAACGTCCTTCGCAGCAATCGCTCATCCAATGCAAAGACCCTCAACGACAAATCCAGGCAGGATCCGTTTCATGCATCATGCTGTTCGCGTGTCGGGTGCAAGTAGGCAATTCTGTGCCCCTGTAAACCGACCTTGCGTCTTTGATGTTGGCATCGGAACAGGGATTTGGGCGATCGATGCTGCAGACGTACACCCCGACGCCGCAGTCATCGGAAGAACTTGCTAGAGTCTAATTGAACCGGATTCTGTATTTCCAAATCCCCAGTTGGAGATTGAGGATGCAGATGAGCAATGGATGCTTCCGTAAGAGTTCGACCTTTTTCATTGTCGCGTCATGAACGATGCGTCTTTGTAATACTGGCCTCATTTCTACCGAGAAGCTTCCACCGCCTGGGTGGGCCGATGATGGAAGCAGTCAATAGAATCAGCCTCAAAGGCCACTGTGACCCTGGCTGCGTCATGTAGCAGATGCGTTATGCAGGCTTCACGGATATCACAAGTCTTAATTTCAAGTTGGGGAAAGTTGGTATGCTCGGATATATGAGTGGAATGGACGGTTTCCGTGATTTAAGTGTAAAGGCTTTCACCCAGACATTGGGCTGGACGGTCGAGGAGTTGGAAGTCTTGCGTACCGAGTGTGAGCGGGTGTTGAGGCACAAGGATATCCGTGGTAACCGGCTCATGTGAATTCGCAATCCACCTGTCTTGGACTGGTACTTGCATCCACCGCAATGCTGCTATATCATGGACAGAAGTCTCTTCGACCTTGATGTTTACCTGAAGGAACTCCTAGTCCAAGCCTGTTACGGCTCTCGAATCAGTGCCGGTCACACAACATGGCGCGAAGAGCTTCAGCTGAAGTGGATCCTTCCGTACCTATCTCGTTATGAAGGTATGCGTCGACGACAAGGAAAACGCAGTACACTATGCCCCGCAAACGGAAACAATAACAGCTGGAAAAGCTGATACATGGAGTGGCATTACATGGACTTGGATTTGGTCAGTCCTTTCGCCCAAATTGGATGGCGTAATTGTTATGAAACCCAAAGGTCAAGTGAGCGATGAGCGATGAGTTGACGTGACAAAGTCAACGGCGGCCATCATTACTCGGTAGACTGCCAAGATGGCCACTAGCGCCAATTTTGAATCGGCGGGTCTGAGTGGGTTCCACGTGAGCTTGAGGTCCATGCCCATTATGTACTTGTACAAGTACGTGTAGGTCCGAGTCGCTTTCTCCGCGTTCTGCTCCCAGCCACAGAATATTAATGTCGCATCGCGTTGCCGAGTCTAGATAATTTCCTGCCTCACTTCACAACACTTGCATTGCATCACAAGCTTCCCGATGCGATAACTAACTTTCAATCTTCCTCTGTTTCCGCGGCAGCCGCGCAACAGTCCAGAATGCCTCACGGTTTTGGTAAGT